AAAATATAATAATTAAAATTTAACTATAGTCTAAAATGTCAATTCTCCCGATATTATGGATTCGTAGATTTCATTTGTCATCCGTTTATATGAATTGATATTTTTGTCGTAAACAGCGATGAAATCATCGTTGGATTGAGGCGTGAATCCCATGTTTTGAAGTTTATATTTAATGAGTTTGAAAGTTCCCGTAACCTCTATATCGGCGGTCAGTTTAATAAACAAAGGGATCGCATACGAGGGCAACCTTTTCGACAACTGTTGCGCCAATTCTTGTAAATCAATTTCATCTGAATTGGCGTTAATTACAGCCATTCCTGCCTTTCCTTCGCTCTGACCGACTGTTACGCCGAAAACAGTGCAGTCTTTATGGTTAAGAGTGCTTTGAATCACTGCCTCCACATCTGTTGTCGACACGTTTTCTCCTAATTAATGATAATTATATCTATTATTATATTACATTCACTTTTATAATAGTCTTAACTACACTACCTTTAAATCTAAAAGTGTCGCCACATCTGTCCTATAAGTGAAAAACAAATAAAATTAACTTAAAAAAGTAAATTTATATTACAATAACAGATATTTGTTAAATTAATATAAAATAAAAACTACAGTGTATATAAAAATTATTTCTTACCTTGAAGTACATGTATCCAAACTTGTCCATCTCAACTAGATCGCCTTAAAATTAATAGTAAATTATATTTAGTAATTTAGTTAACACATAGAGTATGGTTAGCGCATTAAACATATCTTATTAACAGTCTTACCGGACATAAAACCGGAGTCACCCTTAGATCTAATATTAAAGATCCACTTCTTGTTAGTCTCTCCGCTATCAGTATATCCTTTAAACTCGTGAAGTGGACTAATCTTGTTGTGAACGCCAACAATGACCCCGATTTCACCCGGTCTGATCATTTTGCACAGACCTTTCCGGTTGCGCACCGGCTCTAAACTCATTGGATCTACTTTTATAATACAACCCGAGTATATGAGCCGAAGGAATATCCCGTAATACCTATTATTATAATATATTTAATAGTATTATAAGGCTATCGAATTTAAATAATCGGATGGACTATTACCATGGTATAAAACCACATGAGCCCTCTTTATCGTTGAGGTTAACTGTAAAACATTAAAAATAAATTTTTTATTAATATTTATTAAGTTTGTAATGTTGTATCTTTATAATTTTTATAATTAGATTTATATTTAGATAATATATTTATATTGATTACCCAAATAGACATTGGCTTCGGAGGCGCCGTAAAACTCAAAGATATGTTTGATAGCGAATCGGGTCTTGAATTGATTCCAATAGGCTTTTCTCAACCCTATGCCACACATGGCTCTGATCTGATGCTTAGTGTCCTCTGGTTTGGGTGTTTGAGACAACAAATACCTACACGTTTCGCCGATATATAAACCAATCTATAATTTTAAATTCATAAAATATTACATTAATAATTTTATTATTAATACAGGGTAAATTAATTGCCCGTACAGTGCAGTTGTATTTGATACAATCGGCCCAAAAATTGCTGGCAGAGAATCTTTCAGAAATACTTAAAGTAACGCCATTTATAAGACATGTGCCTGTTATTAAGACCCCAGCGAAAGCGTGATATAAGGGTAACGGCACGTATATGTTGTCATTCTTCCTCAGCTTATAGCCGATGTGATGGCCACTCGCGCCCAACAACATCCGGGCGTCAGTTTCAATGGCGGCCTTCACTTTACCACCGGTTGTGCCCGAAGTGAATATGTATACCAAATGGTCGCTAAAGTTTCTCTTGTGGTAAATATCGAGACTATTCTTTGAATAGTTATCCAAGAGATGCGAAAATGATTGAGATGTAAATTTTGTTGAATACGTGTTGTTATTCACATCTTTAGACCAAATTAAGTATTTCACCGAC